CAATCATGAATCGTTCATCTAGAGCAAATTTTGGGGCAGCTGCTGAGGAGAAGTCAATGTTATGTGCAACCTCTGGCTGTATCTTGGTCATATGGTGAACGTACTCACAACGTGGAGGCTTAAAAACGGCCAAATCTTGTACCCAACAGTTTGTGAATCAGATGTGCGCCTCCAGGGATTTATAATTACGAAAATGATTTCCCCTATGCGCTGACTCCACAGACAAGGTACGCGAAGATATCGGGATAGGACAACGGTGGTAGGCTGTCTGGGTTTCTACTCCACTGCCTTATTTCATACGGGTCCACATTACCGATGCACGCTATTTTTTCCACGTACCGTCTCTTGGCGTCTGGGCGCAATCGGTCACGATACAGCCCTTTGTCTTTTGCGCTGACTTTAAGCATGGTTTTGGCAGTACAGCTTCCAACACTGTGTTTGTTTTGATTTGTTGCCTTCTGACATGGCACATCCCATCCCACAATGCACTACGGCATGACGTCAACTCCAAAGCCCTATATAGAGAGACGAGACGACGAGGCTCCAGTTACAGCAGTGCAAGTAAACAAACAATAAATATAAGAAGAGTAAGAAAATAAATATACACTTTAGGACCAGGGGTAAAGGGATCAGAGGGACTGTTCACCCAGGGCGCCAAACAGGCTAGGAAACCGCCACTGGATGCAGTCTTGCCATTTCAACCAATCTGCTTTTCAAAAGTTTTTTTAAAGTTGCAGTAAAAGTCATTGAAAAGATGAATCCCTAACAAGAAAATAGCAGTTTCACAGTGCTGAAGACTAAACCCAGAGTATTTTAAACATGTGATAGCCAGTTAGCATGTATTGAAAACACATTGGCTTCACTCATTTCAGAAATGCTTGGCTAACAAATACACATGACACTGAATTTATCATGTTGTTTATGTCAAAGCTCTGTAGCGGAAGGAGATTTAGGCACCTTGAGAAGACTAGTGTTGTGATTGGGCACTATGCAAACAAAACTGAATTGAACTGAATTGGAATGGATGGATAATTGAAAACCATAATAGGCCAAAAGACTTTTGAAATTGTTTTAATGCACTCTGCTGCTGCTCATTTGCTTTCCCATAAAGTACACTTAGGCTGTGTGTGTTGTGATGGAAACAATCAGATGTGACATCCAGAAATAACCAGAACAAACGCCGACTGCACAAACACGCACACACAAGCTTGTGTTTGTATTGATATAATGGATTCTCTAACCCCTAACCCTATATCCTTAAAGCCGCTCTCATGAATATTCATACATTAAAAACACAAACAATTAATTTGTGTATGTGAAAGGGGTCGCTCGTGGTGACAAATACCCTGATAATTATGCTCTGCAGCTCTCCTCGGCACTGGAGCCTTGTTCTTCTGCTTGTTATTAATTTTATCTTTTTGTTGCTTTAATTCCAGAGGAAACAGCTGGTTAAAGACTGAAAATGCTGATGAACCCACTGCACGCTCATAGATTCAGTTTTATGTTCAGATTCATGAAATATGCAACATGAAAGCTGCAACTTCTCTCCTGTTTATCTTACACTTCTGACTGTTAACATGCAAGAGGAGGAGGGTGACATTTTAAAAACAGGACACAATCGAGTACTTTTATCCGCAAACTGTGCAGAATGTTTTTTTTTCCATACATCCATCCATGTATTTTCTTCCACTTATCCGGGGCTGGGTCGCGGGAGCAGCAGCCTAACCAGGGAAGCCCAGACCTCTCTCTCCCCAGCAACTTCCTCCAGCTTGTCTGGGAGAACAACAAGGCGTTCCCAGGCCGGCCGAGAGATATAATCTCTCCAGCATGTCCTGGATCTGCTCCGGGGTCTCCTCCCACCGGGACATGCCTGGAACACCTCACCCAGAGGCATCGTTATCAGATGCCTGAACCACCTCAACTGGCTCCTTTCGGTGTGGAGGAGCAGCAGCTCTTTTCTGGCCAAACTCCTCGTCCTTTGAAGGAAGCCCATTTCCGCCACTTGTATCCACAATCTCGTTCTTTCAGTCACTACCCACAGCTCATGACCACAGGTGAGGGTAGGGATGCAGAATGACCAATAAATTGAGAGCTTTGCTTATACACTCAGCTCTCTCTTCAACGCGATGGACCGGTATAGCGTCCGCATCACTGCAGCCGCAGCATCAATCTGTCGATTTCCCGCTCCCTTCTCCCATCACTCATAAACAAGACCCCGAGATAGTTGAACTTCTCCACTTGGGGCAGGAATTCGTTCCTGACCTGGAGTGTGCACTCCACCCTTTTTCCGGCTGAGGACCATGGCCTCAGATTTGGAAGTGCTAATTCTCATTCCTATCGCTTCACACTCGGCTGTAAACTGCTCCAGTGCAAGCTGGAGGCCATTACCTGATGAAGCCAACAGAACCACAACTTCCACAAAAAAATGAGATGAGATTCTGAGACAAGAAAGTGACAGCCTTCTGCCACCTGGCTACGCCTAGAAATTCTGTCCATAAAAATTACCAACAGAATCGATGACAAAGGTAACTCCAAACTCCTCCCACACCAGGGTTTTTCCGTCAGCCACTGCCTGAGCCGCGTTCCGCTTGGTCTGTCAGTACCTATCAGCTGCCTCCGAAGTCCCACAGGCTAACCAAGCCCGATAGGGCTCCTTCTTCAACCTGGTAGCTCCCTTCAACTTTGGTGTCCACCATTTGGTTCAGGGGTTATCACCACAACAGGCACCAACCACCTTGCGGCTGCAGCTCAGTGCAACGGCTTTGGCAATGGAGGTGCTGAACATGGTTCATTCAGACTCAATGGCCCCAGTCTCCCTCGGAATGGTGTTAAAGCTCTGCCGAGGGTCTGCATTGAAGATCTCGTGAACCAGGGCCTCTGCCAGGCGTTCCCAGTGCACAGTCACTTTCCAAGTCTGTCCTGCATCTTCCCCCGCTACCTGATCCTGACAGCTCAGTCGCTCTCTTTACACAAGTGTCCAGAAGATATGGCCGCAGGTCTGGCGATACGATTAGAAAATTGATCACTGACCTGCGGCCAGGAATGTCCTAGTGCCACGTGCACTTATGGACTCTCTTATGTTCAAACATGGTATTTGTTATGGACAAACTGTGGTTTGCACAGAAGTCCAACAACAAAACACTGTGGACTTCAGATCCTGGAGGACGTTCCTCCCAATCACGCCCCTCCAGGTCTCACTGTCGTTGCCCACATAAGCATAGAAGTCTCCCAGTAGGATAACAGAGTGTCCAGGTGGAGCACTCTCAAGCACTCCACCCAGGGACTCCAAGAAGATTGGGTACTCTGACCCACCACTTGATGCATAAGCGCAGACGACAGTCAGGACCCGTTCCCCAACCCAAAGGCGCAGGGAACAAAACTCTCGTCCACCAGGAAAAACCCCAACAGGCAGCAAGCCGAGGGAATACTAGGATACCCACTCCCGCCACCTCTCACCAAGGGCAAAGAGTTCATCATTAAGTATTTGCTCTACATTGATTCCATGTATTCAAAGTGAAGATTTTCCACTTTTAAAGAGTAAAATTTTCATATTTGTTATCTGGAAAGGTCAGTGATGGTTTGAATCATTTTGAGGCTCTCACCAGAGACCAGAGTACCTTTATGGAACAGATATTTATACTACTAGGATGTGCTGTAGGTATGAACATGAGACCGGACATTTACAGCACACAGCATTTCCCTCTCAAACATAAAAAAAGCTTAACACATCCTCTTTGGATGTGTTAAGCTTTTTCTATTTATGATATGAAGTTTTCATGCTCTCATATTCTTCAAGAGCCCCCTCAAAGACAGAGACTTTTCACAACCTCTCACTGTGCTGTAAGCATCTCTGACTGAAGTGTTCTTGTGCCTGAATAGAAGCAAAGGTCTGCAGCTAGCTTCCTACACATGTAGGAAGCTTTCACAGCAGCAGCACAGTAATGCTCATGGTTTTAAAGTGGCATGCTCACGGTTGTAAAGTTTGAGCATAAATCCAGATTTATCACCTGAAATCATCATTACTGGTGCTGCTTCCTGCCTCCAGTCAAACCTCAGCTGCTGTTTTCTCATGCGGAGCACGGACGGAGCTGCTGTTACAGGATGGAAGCAGGAATCCCTGAACGAGGCAGAGGGAGAGAGGAGCATCTGGCACAGAAGCAGGATTTTAAATGTGTGGTTGCAGTGATCAGAAACCGGCATCATGGAGCCATTAGCAGATGCAAATGAGGCCAGAACTGGCAGGCTGGTTTGTCTCACTCTGTCTTTAACACACAAACACCACGAACACCAATACAATCACACACAGACTCCAACATCTGGACTGGGAGCAGTTTGTGCCAAATGTCTGACAGAACAAACTACCCGCTGATTACTTAACTTTTCTTTGAGCTCCAACAATGACTTCTCATCCCAGGTTTTTCCTCATAATTTATTTGCAGGAGCCTCCTGGCGGCTGTACCTTGATTTATCTGCCACAGCAATAAGCACCAAGAGATAAAGGCCCCAGATCTGCTAACTCCTTACTGTGAAATTAGAGGGATGGCACTAAAATCTACTTGTATAGGTTTACGCCGTCGGTATAACCTGAAAACCGCATACAGCTAAAGTGAAATAAAATGTTTTTAAAAATCAGATTCCACATTGTTAATTCAGTAGTTGATATAAATCCCTTTGGCAGCAATTACAGCTTTCAGTCTTCTTGGGAACGTCTCTGCTGGCTTTGCACAGCGGGATTTACAGAGGTTTATCCCATCCTTCTTTGCAGATCCTTTCAGAGAAGGAGATTTTCATGTGAGACCAGGTGTGTGACCATTCAGGCAAAACAAATGTTTAGATGCTAGGCGAAAATACCACTACATATCAAGAAGGGGGAGGTCTGCACAGTGTTATTAACTGTAAACCTTCTTCAGCTCCCTTCAATTCCCGATATCTGACCTATTTAGCCTCATTTTGGGGAAACAGCCTCCATGCTCAGAGAAAAACAAAAAGACAAACATAACTCTGAATATAATTATTTATTCCAGTCCAGTCCAGAAAATGTACACATATGTTCTCAGAAGGTATAAAATTTATCTTTAAATAAGTAATTGTTCTATTTCATATAATTGTAAATTCTCATTATTTCATTAAAACCCCTGAAGCTGACATATGACACCACAAAGGAACCAAAATCATAAAAGAGCAAAAAATGAAAGTTAGTAGAGTTAGCAAAAGCCATCCAGCAGTTTGCAACCTGACTTTGGGTCTTTATGAAGGACTTGCTCTTAAGTACATTCTGTTTTTTTTTTTGTTTTTTTTTATCTACTTTATATTAAAAAGAAAAACTGCAATAAAAGAAATGCTTGTTGTAAAGTTTGCACAGAGAGAGGATTAAAGGCTTTGGTTGCTTCAAGCTGGTTCAGGCTCCACTTATTGCTACTGTAGCCTCCGATGTCAGAGGCATTGTTGCTGGTATTGTGTCATTATTGCTGTGGTTGTTGCTCCCACTGTTGCTACTGTGACTCTGGAAAAAAAAATGTTTCCAGATGTTTAGAAATGTCAAGTGCAAAAAAGGCTCCACAACAGGAAGGTTGAAGCGATCATCCACGGAAACAATGGATCAGAACGGGTGACGTTTGGGCTGTGGGAGGTCTGGTTTTTGGTTTGTTGTCTGGATTAAGATGAAGGCGGTGATAACCCTGAGGCTGGTAAACAGAGGAACTCTAGAGAGACACAAAGAAAGAAGAGGAGTTACTATGACAGTTCACGTCTGAGTTTGAAAGATCTTTAAAAGATGGGCTGTTCTGTAAAACAACCTTCAAGTTCAGTTCCTATTTGCTTAAATTAAACTGTAAAAACAAAAAAAAATTAGCACTTCATAAATTCAAGAAGCATTTGGGTTCAAATTAACTCTACCCCAGCCCTACAGCATGCTTGACCTTAAGTGGGCCAGGCCCTTTCTGTTAGGTGCTTTTCTGCCTGAAATAGAGATGATTAGATCATTAGTCTATATGTCATGTTATATGTCTAATATCTTTCTTTTAAATCACACATTTTATAACCTGTAGTGAGCAATGCTCAATCAGTGAACTGACCGATGTGCCTCATTAAATGTTTATGTGAGAGTGACCAGAGACCAGAAGCCTGGATTACATGAAAAAAAGTTACCACTATTGTACTAGCCTGTTTCTGTGACTGGGGCTTTAATGTTTGTTCAGCTAACACAAAGAAAACCCAGCTTTGTTGAACGTGTTGATCAGCACACTCACTGATCCTGAGATTAAAACCTTTGGATCGTGTGTTTCTTAACCTACATTTTTACTTGTGGTTACATGAGATAAGCCTATTTTAGTTTCTATGATAATCAGGCCTCCTTTGTCCATCTTTTTGCATGACAAGACAATGCTCTTGGGAAAAGTGAAGATATTTTAAATCTTGGAATTAATGTTTGAGTTTGGTAGGGATTATTTAGAAAAACTGTCCTAAAAAATATTTACCGGTAAAAAGCTGCCACTTGTGTGTAGGCATTAATGAAGTGCAAGCAAGCACTGATATCTTCCCAACAAATAGATTGTGAGGCTCTGTGGAGACCTCTGAATAAAACTCTGCCTCCCACTTCCTTCTCTATAAACCCCAAATTGACTCATTAAGTTCATCTTAATAAAATCCCCCAAACTAACTGCCGTGTGTCTCCCTCCTCCTGCAGAATAATAAACATTCGCCTCTGTACACATTGAAATATCCAATTAATGCACTGAGCTTCCATGTTAATCATTAACTCCTCCATTAACCCCACCCCACCTTCTCCTCCTCCTCCTTGGTACAATAACGAGGAGGGTGGAGCTACAATTAGGACAACTAGGACCCTTTTGCTTGTACAGAAAACATTTTAATAATATATCAAACATCAGAGTGAAGCGTTCGCTCAGCAGGAGAGAAGAGGTGATATCACACACATCATATGTTCTACTCCTGCTCCTCCTCCTCAGCCTCCCCGTCTTCCTCAGCCTAACAAAGACGTTTGACCACACTGCTGACCACTAAGTTTCCAATTTTCCCAATGTGCCATTGTGAATCCCCATTTTTTTTAATACAGAACAAAATCCATTTTTATTCTCATCCTTGAGCTTTCAAATGTCTAATTAAGCCATTGTTAATCCATCATTGTGGCATTTTCAAATCCTTCCTCCTTCATTTCATTTCCATTTTCCATCATAAATCTCTTTTGAATCAATCATCCTGCCGCTTTGAACCCCTATTGATGCTTTCACTTTGCCACTTTGAGCTCTAACTTTAGTCATCCCTGTTAATTACCATCCTGAATTATTTATTTGCCATTGTAGTCGCCCTCTGTACCTTCTGTTTTAAATATTTAATTGTGCCATTTGATTCCCTCCTTCATGCAATTTGTCATTCATTGAGGCTTGTTTGAGTCCTCCCTTGTTTATATATGGAATCACCCCATTCTTTCAGTTCTCAGCCCTATACTGGTCTCACTATTCCATTTAAGCTTACTTTTCCATTTAATTTAATTATTAATTTGATTACAGATGATTACATTTTTCTCTATTTGAACTCGTAATATGCCATTTGGAATCCCACCTTCTTCCCATTTTAGATGTTTCTATTGTATTGAATCCAATTTCTTTCTCCAATTGGTATTTTCTTTTCACTGTGCAATTTACAATCTTTGGTTTTTAACGATTTTGAATCAGCTGTTTTATGACGAGCCTACTTAAAAAGGTTAATTGTGCCATTCAGAATCATTCCTTCATCTCACTTTGAGTCAATCCATCTGAAGTACTCAACCTCTGTATTTGTATTTTTATTGTGCTGTTTTGAATCCCTACTTTGTATTTCTTTTCAACACTAGTTTATATGTTGACGAATCCTTCATTAGCTTACTTTGAATGTCTCGTCATGACATTTATAATCCCCTCACCTCTTTTTTGATAGGTGTAGTACTGAATTTGCAAACTGTACTCTCTTGCTGCACTTGTTTTAACTCCTCAGTTTGACTCCTGTAACTGTAACTGAGTCTGTAGCCTGTAGTCTCTTACTGCATCTAATCTCCTCCTTTAAATGGTTTTAAATTTTAAACAATCCCATCTCTAATTTTATGTTTTTAATTTTTTGATTACACCATTTTTTTTATTCTTAACTATCCTTTTTTATCCTTCGTTAGCCTAATTTAAATTCAAACTGTACTATTAACCTATGCAGTCCAGTAGGCATTTTTATTTCTATTCATTTACTGAACCATACTGAATCCCAACATCTTTAAATTTTTAATAATTTTGTTATTTCACCTTCCCCTTTCTTCCATTTTTAAATCTTTCTTTCTGAATCACTAGCATCTAAATAGTTTTTGAATCGATGGGTATTCCAAGATGAAATTGGCTTGCTTTAAATCTGTCTTTATACCATTTAGAATCCCTCCTTGAAACTGTTATCCATGTTGCTGTAGTACTGAATATACAAAATCTCATCTGCATTAAAGCTGCATTATTTTGTTGTTGTTTTTTATTGTCATTTATCTTTTTAGTCTTTTTTTCATCCCCAGTTTCTACTTTTGAATCATTGATTACATGATGACAAATCCATTGAATCACCTAGCAACTCATTCAGACTGCCTCCTTAATTCTGATTTTGGTTCACTTTACCTGTAACTGAACCTACAACCCCACAGTTAAACATTTATTTTTAGACCCTTCCTGTGCCATTGTGCATCCTTCAGATTTGCTAGTGTTTGCCAAATCCAGACTTAATGATGAACTCTTTGTTGTGCTGTGTTAGTGTTTCTTTGTTTTACTGTTTCAGTATTAATGCATGTGAATGTTTTCTTCCTTCACTGTTTCCATGTTTCGGTCTGATAATCCTCAGCTCACTCTTAATTACTCCCTAATAATTAGAAAATCCTGATAATCTGCTGCTTAATCGAGGCAATTCAGCTAACTGACAGCACACGGGCACACACACTCAGCAGTTATCAGCCTCATGAATGACTTTGAAGCAGATAATTCTCTGTGTCTCAACATGCACTAATTACCAGCAGCTGAAAAATGCTGCAGGAGTCTGAATCAGCTCCTCTGGAAATTACAAGATACACAGCTAATATTCACACACACACACACACACACACACACACACACACACACACACACACACACACACAGAGAGAGAGAGAGAGATGCTGGTGTGTGTTTGTATCAGTCACAGCCTTTCCTCAGTCAGCAGTGTGAATCTTTAGTCTCGATCAGATAAAAACGGCAGTCTGCTCATTTTAAAGGAACAGTTCAATGTTTAGAGAAATCCTCTTCCTTCGTGTCTTCCCCACAGTCACACGAGGAGATGGATATCAGCTTTATGTCTGTGGAAGACCTCTGAGTGGAGAAAGGTGGTGCTGAAAAGGAAGCTCTTTTTGGCTCATATTTGCTCAGAAATGGGATTGAAAGGTCGAAATGAGGATGATAATCGCACATTAATAACACAATTTGACAAATTACACTTCAGCTTAAAAGACATTTTTAAAAAATTTAATATAAATATACCAGCTGATGAACATGCATGGTTCTGCAGTTATGTAAAACTTTGATTACAGTCCTACATCAAAACTCAAAATCAAGGCAGTTGACAGACTGCATCATTGGTAGGTGTTTCAGCCACTGTTTACTTTTTTTAAACACCCAAATGAAAAAGTTTTTAACAGAAAAAAACTGTAAAGCCAAAACAAATCTATGACATTTTAAAGGTAACATTTTCTAATGCCTAAAAATGTGCCAGCATGAAGCTAAAATGGACACAGGCCTAATTCAAACCCCAACAAGTGCAGAAATGCCAATGAGAAATGTTTCACCTCACACAGAAACTCTTACACTCTTAAAAGCAGTACACAAAAAGCCCACAAGGCATGAAAAACCAGCGCCGCTTTTCAGTCTTTTCAGGCTATGGACAATAGCTCCTAATGCAATGAGACTGACCTGTTAATATTTGGCCAAATTTGGCTAACAGCTGATCATTGAGCTTAAACATAGAAGCAAGAAGCTATGACCACTGACCAAAGGTTTATTAGCTTTAAAAGGATTGTAGAATAAAGAGTGAGTTAAACCTAAACCCATCTGTTTGCACAAAAACTGCTTCTTTATTTTGACACCATCTTTAAATTTCCTGCAGACTAACAGCAGACACCCTCTTTCTCTCTTCGTAGCAGAGATGCCAGAATGCAGGAGAGGGTCTAAAGTGGGCCTCTTCCCACCTGTATTTACTATAATTACTTTTTAAGGCTTTTTAAGGTTTTTTGTCAATTTCAATTATTCATATAAAATATACATCTCCACCTAAATCATTCACATTACAATAGATTAAACCACACAGTAATGTTTTTCCTGCACATAAATGATTTTGTGTGGTACCAGTACTAACATAACTCACATCAACACTTCTGGTAATGAAAACTGATGCATTCAAAGAAAAGAATACAGCACCGTTAGATGTGTTTGCCCCCATCGTTCATGGCAGCAGTATTGTAATGTGTTATTGCCACCTAGTGTAGCATGTTTCTGAGTAAGCGCAGAATATAAAGGGTCGCATAAAAGATAGAGAATGGCAGAAGCCAACTCAGCCAGAAAACCAACATAAATAAATTAGCAGGACGCTACAAATAAGAGTCAGAGCAGCAGGAAGCAAAGCAAACAATGTGAGAATTCGACAAAGATTTAAAAGG